GGACTCCTCATAATTATGACATCTTTTCTCGTAATTATGAGATAAGATCTCGTAATTATGAGATAAGATCTCGTAATTATGAGATCAGTTGTCTAATTTTTTTTATTTGGTGAATGCAACGCTCTTCTGTAAATTTCAGTTCCATAATTAAAATTTTTGTGTCACACATCCTGGTCCTTGAGAAGGCCAGGCAGAGTAATTAAACACAGATCCACAGATTTATGTTTCATTTTGGTGAAGTTTTCCTTCTGTAGGTTACAGAGTTGATGCAATCCACTGTAAAAGTGACAAAAACAGACAAAGTTATTTTATTGCAGTGATTAAATTTACCTTTATGTAGAAAATCTTACATCACATCATGGATCAGTCAGCAGCAGCATCTGATCAATATGTGATGTAAATGTAACATTTTCTACATATAGGTAAAATTAATCACTGCAATAAAATAACTGCCTGTTTTTGTCACTTTTACAGTGGATTGCATCAACTCTGTTACATACAGAAGGGAAACTTCCCCAAAGTGAAACGTCAATCTGTGGATCTGTGTTTAATTTCTCTGCCTGGCTTTCTCAAGGACCAGGATGTGTGACACAAAAATTTTAATTATGGAACTGAAAKTGAAAGTAGTCAAACTGAATTTTTAATAAACCAAAATACAGTTTCAAAGCAAATTAATTCAGATACAAAACTTTCAATTCAGTTTCAAATCATTAAATTTAGTTTCAATTTAGTAAAATTCATTTTCAAACCAATGCATTCACTTTCAAATTATGCTCATTCAGATTCAATCTGAGCAATTCAAATTCAGTTCCTGCTGGCACAAGATTTATCCCATATAACTGGCCCAAAATAACTTCTAATCAGAGACTAATTTATGCACAGGACATCAATCCAGTTGTCAGACTTGAATATTTATTTACAGACATGYAAAGTTTACCACAGATCTGGTCTATTTCCTGAACCCCCTCACTTCGGAGACTGAAGAAAATGGCCCCAGATTACCGGTTCTTACAAGTACACTTCGCTGCAGCATGCAGAACGGGGCGGTGACRGACCTTTCCGTCRGTCCCATACCTTATATGGAAATGGGACTATTGCATTCCGAACATGAAGGGGGCGCTAGTGACACTATTTTCTATCGAACACTATCAACATTAACAATACAAAATTTACAGTAAGGAATTTCTTATCTTTATTTGCACCCATCCTTTTTCTCTTTTATGCAAGTTTGTTTGTTTGAAATACGCCTTATTGTTTGTACATTGTATCATTTTGTGTGTTCTTTGTTGTTTAATAAAAAAATAAAATAAAAAAAGAAAATTTACAGTAAGGAAATGGCTACACAACGTGTTATGTCACGTGGTATGTCCCTTTTTCATTTTCAAATCTTTATTAAATCTTTGTTGTTTTTGGATATTAATATTATATTACAGTAACAAACTAACCTTAGGCATTAGGCCTGTGAGGTTAACCTTAGGCATTAAACCTGTGAGGTTAACCTGAGGGTCTGTGTTTGGGGAGGTGGATAAAAGAAATTAATAAATAATGCTCTGAGTACTTCAAGTGAGTAGAAGAAACTCTCTAACTTCTTCCTTTCTTCTTCCTTTGCTCTCTTAATTCCGCGCAACCTTCATTTCCGGAATGCAATTGTCCCATTTCCATATAAACTATGGGACTGACGGAAAGGTCCGTCACCGCCCCGTTCTGCATGCTGCAGCGAAGTGTACCTCGGTTCTTACAGTATTTATAGAAAATAATTTCAAAAATTGGTMACATTCATATCTATAAGTGGTAAACTTCCAGCTAAAACTGTCTTTAAAAACAGAGAAAAACTTTAAAAGCTGCTAAAATGTCAGATTTGAGATGACCCGATTATCACGGCACTTTGTGAACTGCTAAACCAAGGAACACAGGGATGACTCCACCTCCCAAAACATGTCAGGAAAACCAACATTTCATAGTGTGGAATCAAAACCACCGTTCACCATGAATGGGATGAGGTTTTAGTCTCGCGTGTGAAGCATGAGAAGGCAGGGGAGAAAGTGGAAAGCTTGTTTTACCATAAACGATGAGCGTGGCGGTGCTGCTCCGCCTCTTAGCCACCACGTTTCGAGCCACGCACGTGTAGTTAGCCGTGTCCGAGAGTCGGGCCTGTTTGACGATCAGATCGTGATCGATGGTGATCAGGAAGTTGGAGTCCTGCGACGGATCTATGAGCTCCTCGTTCTTCAGCCAGTCCACCTTGAAGGAAGCAAAACRATCACCTTGCATCGAAATTAAGATCAGGAAGTTGATAACAAAAACAAAAGAAAATATAAAAAATCCACACCAGGATTATTAATGATGTCAACAGTTAGAATAACAACAAACAGGGTAGTTATTAAGAGAAGCAAGAGTAGAGATTAGAAACTAATCCAGATTTTTAWCTTGRATACTTTTCRGCTGATTTTCTTCATATAATTTAGGAGGTATTTATGCATGAACATGACTCTGCATCACACACACAGCCTGTCAGAAAACACAAATAAACCTGCAGGGATTTAAACACCACAGTGCACACTGATGATCAAACACTTCTGAAAGTTTATCATTCGTTCAAAAGAATAAAAATAAACAGAACTTCCATCAAATCACAGCGAGCTAACAGCTACACAACTCTTACTGGACTTCAAACTTACTTTAAAGTTCTAACTTTATGCCCTTTATGATGTATTCTTAATATGCTTTCATACTATGTGTTTTTAAGGAATGTAAACAGGTTTTTTAAGCTACTTAAAGGACACATATCATGCTTTTAAAGCCTTCTGGAAAGAAATTYAGACGTGTTCGTAACCAGATAGGAAATATACCAATACTTGAATGTTTGAATGTGAAAAGAATTCATACAAGCACAGCAGCACGCTGGACTGAAACACAGGATTTAATGCTTTCTCTGTGTGCWTTCAGCAAAGARTCCAGGAAGTATTGCTACTTATAACAACTTCTTCAGGATCTGACCCCGCCAACTAAGTTTGACATCTCTGTGGGGACACTTTCCTGCTCCGGGGTCAAATCCTCTCAACGTAATTCCTTTCCAGCTTTCTTTTACATTCAGTAACTACGTGTTGAATATGTGTTCAGGCATGTAGCTACTTAAATACTTCCTGCTTCGGGTGATCATATCTTCTGGCCATCTAGACTAGTCTGTACATAAAATCATCAATTTAATCACAGAAATAATCGCACACTAGTTTATAGCACTATATCATGTTTCACCTAAGAAAAAACTACAGAATATGTGGAGCTTTTAAAAATCAGGAAGTAAACAAACCCCAATAAATTTCTTCATACGTATTAAGCAAAATTGACTTTTTTGAGCTTTAAATCATGTTATAATGTCCCTCATCAAAAACATCCCCAGAGTGTTGCTTTGACTCAATGCATGTTTGAGAAATCCTTAAATCTCCTGTGGTAGTCATGTGGAGCTGCCTAAATGCTTTCTGCTACAAAGCTCCGCCTTTTTTGTACCTAGCTCCTCCCTGGAGCTCAGTCTGCAGCTGAGCTCCCGCCCCATAGAATATAAAGATATCTACGCTGCAACAGGAGAGACTAAATTCAAACTTTATGCACTCTTAGACTCATTTAATGGCTAAGAATGGGGATTTTGCACACGTCCCCTTTAAATAAATGAGGACAGTTGAGCAAATTATTCGTGAACAGAAATCTACATTCAGGAAAGCAAACCGGAGGTTTATTTTATTGATATATTTCAAGATTTTTTTGGTCAATCGTAGCACAGAAACGGCTGCAACGATCAACGTGAAATTTGGCAGGAATGTAGATGAGTTCAACCTTCACCGCGTCAGCCAACGGTTTTATGATAGACCCCCATATTGAAGGAGGGGGCTTCATATGAAACAGTGGTGTGTGGACATGCAAAAATGCTTATCACTCAAAAACTACCATTCAACATTGGAG